TACGCCAACGCATTGGAAACCTCGACGGAAGCGAAGATACGCGCGAATCGAGATTTTCGGGAGGTTGAAGAGTCCGAAGGAACGTTGCTACCTGCGGTAAGCGCAGTGTCGGGCGACAAGGACGAGAGTACGGGTACTAAGGTGCCTACCGGAGACGAGAAAGGGCGCGCGTTCATGCGGAACGTGTGTGTAGGACTTGATGGGACTGACGCCTCGGTCTCTTGGAGCCCCGAAAAGGGGGCTGGAACGTTGCCGTTCAGGTGGCGTTCCATAATTCGTAATCATGTATACGAACTCCTCAAACGGTCAAGTGTTCGAGGAGCCGTGAAGGACAAGTCGGTCGTGCTAGTCGAGGGCGCTCCAGGAGCGGATGATTCGCTGAGAGTCGCTCGGACGCTGTGCACGGTGACAAACGGAACGGTGCTGGTCTAGGTGCGCAATGCTTGTACCAAAGAGGTGGAAGTCAAGTCTGGAGCTTACCTAGCTGCTGTGACTGTCGTGCCTGAGTCGACCTTCACTGCCGAGGTACCTGAGCGTGAGGGAACGCCGATAAACATTAGTGCGATATTAAGCGCCTTGAGTAGGAACGCCGAGACTCGGGTTGGGAAGGAAGAGGCTGAAATGACCGCGGCGATGAAGGACGGAGACGACGATGAGTTTGGGGTGGACTTTCAAGACTCATCGTTAGGGGCGGAACAGCGGAGACTCTTCGTGGAGATGGTGAAGGGAATGCGAGATTTGTTTGTCGAGACCTCAAAGAAATCTGGGAGGACGGAACTCCTGAGGTTCAGCATTGGCACTGGAGCGCATGGGCCGATCAAGCAGCCACCGTACCGGGTTTCGAAGGCTGAATGAGACTGAGATTCAAGAATATATAGGCCTTGGTTTCGTCAGGCCTTCAAAGAGCCCGTGGACGAGTCTCGTACTTATGATAAGGAAGCCCGACGGTGGTATTCGATTCTGTATCAACTACAGGAGGCTGAACGCCGTCATGGTGAAGGACAGCTACCCGATACTGTTAATCGACGACATCTTGGACGATCTGGGGAACGCCAAACTCTACTCGACCATGGATATCGCCTCCGGATATTGGAACGTTCCAATGGATCCAGACAGTGTGGAGAAGACGGCGTTCACGAGCAAGTTTGGGTTATACGAATGGCTTGTCATACCGTTTGGTTTGTGCAACGCCGTTTTAGCGTTCGAGCGGTTGATGGAGAACGTCCTCGTTGATCTCAAGTGGCGGGTTTGTCTAGTCTACATGGACGACTGTGTCGTCTTTAGTGACGATTTCCCTACTCATTTAGTGCGAGTGCGCCAAGTCTTGGAACGCTTCAAGAAGGCCGGATTCAAACTGAATATGAAGAAGTGTCACTGGGGACGCAATCAGGTGGCGTTCCTGGGCCACATTGTGACTCCTACAGGAATCCTGCCTAATCCCGAGAAAGCAAAG